CCATAACAATTAAGGAAACTGAATCTATAACCTAAAAACTCCCAAAAAAGAAATCTCCAGGCCCACACACTTAAGAATTCTACCAAATGTTTAAGGAAGAATTAACACCAATTTTACAGCCTGTAACAGAAAACTGAAGAGGAAGAGACAATTCCCTATTCATATTTTTATGTGATTTTACCACAATGAAAAAATTACCATTTAACTATTTTTTTATTAATGTTATGATAGATTACAACCATTTAACTATTTTTAAGTGTACAATACAGTGGCATTACAATGTGTGTGACCAACCCTATTATTTATTTCTAGAAGTTTTTCATCATCTTAAACAGAAACTCTCCATGACCCCTACCCAAATTCCTAGTAACTTCTGTTCTACTTTCTGTCTCTATTAATTTGCCTATTCTATTTATTCTTTTGTATCTGGCTTATTTTGTGTAGTATAATGTTTTCAAGGTTCATCCATTTTGTATCATGTATCAGAATTTCATTCCTTTTTATGACTGTATAATATTCCATTGTGTGTGAATACATTTTACTCATCCATTCATCTGCCAATGGACACAGGTTGTTTCCACCTTTTGGCTATTGTGAATAATGCTGCTATGAAAATTGTTATACAAATATTTGTTCAAGTCCCTATTTTAAATTCTTTTAAGTATATACCCAGAAGTGGAATTGCTGGATCACATGGTTAATTCTGTATTATTATTTTTTTGCTGAGGAAGATTTACGCTGAGCTAACATCTGTTGACAATCTTCCTCTTCTTTTTTCACATGAGCCACCACAAGCATAGCCACTGACAAATGAGTGGTGCAGGTCCGAACCCAGGAACCAGAACCTGGGCTGCTGAAGAAGAATGCGCCAAACTAAACCACTAGGCCACTGGGGTTGGCCCTTCTATATTTAAATTTTAAGGTACTCCCATGCTGTTTTTCACAGTGGCTACAAAATTTTACATCCCCGTTAGCAATGCACAAGGGTTCCAATTTATCCACATCCTTACCAAATTTTTTTTTCTGGTTTTTGGTTTCTGTTTTGTTTTTACATAACAGCCATCCTAAAGGGTGTGAAATGGTAGCTCATGGTTTTGATTTGCATTTCCCTAATAATTAGTGATGTTGAACATCTTTTCATGTGCTTATTAGCCATTTGTATATCTTGTTTGGACAAATGTATATCCAAGTCCTTTGCCCATTTCCCCCCCAATTTTTTATTGTGGTAAAATATATATAAAATTTACCACTTTAACCAATTTTGTGTGTACAATTCAGTGATATTATGTACATTCACATTGTTGTGCAACCATTACCACCCTCCATCTCCAGAACTCTTTTCATCTTGCAAAACTGAAACTCTACACCCATTAAACAATAACTCCCCATTCTTCCCTCCCTGCAACCCTTGGCAACCACCATTCTACTTTCTGTCTCTCTGAATTTGACTACTCTGGGTGCCTCATGTCAGTGGAATCATATGATATTTGACCTTTTGTGTCTTGCTTATTTCACTTAATATAATGTACTCAAGGTTCATCAGTGTTGTAACATGTGTCAGAATATTCTTAAGGCTGAATAATATTCCATTGTCTGTATATGCTACATTTTGTTTATACATTCATCTATCGATGGACACTTGGTTTGCTTACACCTTTTAGCTGCTGTGAATAGTCCTAAGAACCTATGTGTATAAATCTCTCTTCATCTCCCTGCTTTCAATACTTTTGGGTGTATACCCAGAAGTGGAATTGCTAGATCACATGGTAATTTTGTCTTTAATTTTTTGAGGTACTGCCATACTGTTTTTCACAGTGGCTGCACCGTTTTACATCCCCACCAGCAATGCACAAAGTTTCCAGTTTCTCCACATCCTCACCAATGCTTGTTATTTTGTTTTCATTTGTTTGTTCGTTTGTTTTTCTGAGGAAGATTAGCCCTGAGCTAACATCTGCTGCCAATCCTCCTCTTTTGCTGAGGAAGACTGGGCCTGAGCTAACATCTATGCCTATCTTCCTCTACTTTATATGTGGGACGCCTGTCATAGCATGGCTTGCCAAGTGGTGCCATGTCCGTGTCTGCACCCTGGATCTGAACTGGCAAACCCCAGGCCGCTGAAGTAGAACATGCGAACTTAACCGCTGGGCCACTGGGCCAGCCTGTTTGTTTTTATATGGTAGCCATGCTTATGGATACAAAGTGCTATCTCATTGTGGTTCTGGTTTGCATTTTCCTGATTAGTGAGGTTGAGCATCTTTTTATGTGCTCATTGGCCATTTGTATATCATCTTTGGAAAAATGTCTATTTGAGTCCTTTGCCCATTTTTGAATTGGGTTTCTGTGGTGGTTGTTAGGAGTTCTCTCTATATTCTGGATATTAATCCCTATCAGATATGTGACTTGCAAATATTGTCTCCTATTCTGTGGGATGCCTTTTTACTCTGTTGATCATGTACTTTGATGCTCAAGTGTTTTTAATTTTTATAAAGTCCAATTTGCCTATTTTTTCTTTTGTTGCCAGTGTCTTTGCTGTCATACCCAAGAAATCATTGCCAAATCTAGTCATGAAGCTTTTTATGTTTTCTTATGAGTTTTATAGTTTTAGTCTTATGTTTAGGTATTTGATCCATATTGAGTTAATTTTTGTATATGCTATAAAGGTCCAACTTTATTCTTTTGCGTGTGGACGTCCGGGTTTCCCAGCACTATTTGTTGAAAAGAATGTCTTTTCTCTGTTAAATGGTCTTAGCACTCTCATGTAAAATCAACTGCCCACTATGTGTTTATTGTTAGGCTATTTGATTTCTGTAAAATTGGTAGTAGTGTCCCCACTTTAATTTCTGTAATTTAAGATTTTAGTAATTTGAGTCTTCTTTTTCCCTTAGTCACTCTAGTTAAAGGTTTGTCAATTTTGTTGATATTTTCAAAGGATCAACTTTTGGTTTTGTTGATTTTCTCCATTGTTGTCTTAGTCTCTATCTCTGCTCTAATCTTTAATATTTCCTTCCTTCTGCTAACTTTGGGTTTATTTTGCTCTTTTTCTAGTTCCTTAAGGTGCAAAGTTATTGATTTGCTATCTCTCTCCTTTTTTAATGTAGGCAATTACAACTACAAATTTCCCTCTGAGCACTGCTCTCAATATATCCCCTTCATTTTGATATGTTGTGTTTTCATTCATTTCTAAGTATTTCTAATTTCTGTTGTGATTTCCTCTTTGATCCATTGGTTGTTTAATTTACACATATCTGTGAATTTTCAAGTTTTTCTTCTGTTATTGATTTCTAGTTTCAACCCATTATGATTGGAAAAGATACTTTCTATGACTTCAATCTTTTAGAATTCATTAAGACTTGTTTTGTGGCCTAACATATAGTCTATCATGGAGAATGTTCCATATATGTTTGAGAAGAATGTGTATGTTGTTGGGTGAAGTGTTCTATGTGTGTCTGTTAAGTCTAATTGGTTTACAGTGTTGTTCATGTCTGTCCTCTATTTCCTTATTGATCTCCTGTCTGATTGTTCTATCCATTATTGAAAGGGGGCTAGTAAAGTCTCAGTTTACCAGGCCTGCTGTAGCAAGTACCACAAACTGAAGAGGACTTAAAACAACAAATTTATTTTCCCTTAATTCTGGAAGCAGGAAGGCCAAAATCAAGGTGTTTTAGGAGCCATCCCGGTGGCACAGTGGTTAAGTTTGCATGCTCCACTTTGGCAGCCCAGGGTTCACCAGTTTGGAGCCCGGGCATGGACCTACCCATTGCTAATCAAGCCATGCTGTGGCAGGCATCCCACATAGAACATAGAGGAAGATGGGCACAGATGTTAGCTCAGGGCCAAACTTCCTAAGCAAAAAGAGAAGGACTGGTGGTGGATGTTAGCTCAGGGCTCACCTTCCTCAAAAAAAAAAAAAAAAAATCAGGGCCACCGTCTCTCTTATAGCTCTAGGGAAAGACTCTTCCTTGCCTCCTCCTGTTATCTGGTGTTTGTCAGCAATTCTTGGTGTTCATTGGCTTCCAGATACAATACTCCAGTCTCTGCCTCCATCATCACATAACATGTCCCTGTGTGTCTCGGAGTCTCTCTTTTCTTTTCTTATGAGGATACATGTCACCCTAATCCAGTACGACCTAATCTTAATTACATCTGCAAAGACCCTATTTCCAAATAAGATCACATTCACAGTATCAGGGGTTAGATTTCAACATACTTTTTTGAGAGTCACAATTAAAGCCATAACAGGTGGAATCTTGCAACTGCTGATGACTTTTTTAATATTTGAACATCACTGAAATCAGGATATATTTTACAATTTATGATATCTTACATTCCATGAGCCACAGTAACAAATTCCATAATATGATAATTGCTATGAAGAAAATAAAGATTGAGAGTGGCTGGACAAGTGTGTGGAAGTTTGATTTTAGGCTGAGTGTTCAGGGAAGGTTTCCTTATGCAGGGGACATTTAAGTAGAGAATAATTACTTAGATGGAGCCAGCCATGCAAAATTTGGAGCAAGAGTATTTCAATCAGAGGAAATAGTAAGTGTAAAAGTCTTGAATTGGAAATGGGTTTGGTATACTTAAGAACAAGAAAACCAGTATAGCTGGAGCACAGTAAGGAAGGAAAAGGTAGAACAAGTATGAGGACCTGATAAGCACCTATTAACGTCAAGGGTTGAGATGATGAGATTTCTGAAGGTAGAGTGTTCTTGAGAACAAAGTTACCCCCAAGAACATTTTAAAACTTCCACATTTGAAAAGATGATGCAATAAGCAAATCCTTTCTATTTTCTATAACAGCATTAATCTTTTTATTCCGATCCTTTTGATCTTAGTATGTTAACAAGTCCTTGCTGGGTTCAATATTTTAGAAATTCACCTCTTTAATGATTTAAAATCTTTACATTTTCTGAAAAATAACTTCTTAACCTTATGAATGTTGAAATATCTCATTGCCGTTGCTTCATTGAAAAACAATCTCCTACTTATTTCTCTTGAAGATTCAAGCAAAGTATTCACTTCCTGAGCAAAATCCCACTCTAGGAGCAGACTCTTGTTCTCCTAATTTATCAAAAGGGTGAGTACAAATTTTACACATCTAAATGTTGTCTAATTGTGTCTGGGAGGCTCGTGCTTATAATTCATTGTGATACTGAAAGAGAATAAGAGAAGAGGCCTCTTTGTGGTATGGTATCATCATTACTTTCTTTTTGTTTCAGCAGCATAAATGAAGCAAAAATAAAGAATCAACAGAGCAAACAAAGGATAAGGGGGGAAAGTGCAGAAACTTCTTCCTTTGACCTCAGGACTTCTGAAATAAGTGAAAAGGGTGCATTAGTTTTGCATCCTGCTAAACAGTGCAGTTCTTTCGACTTTCTGGAGCTAAACTGTGGTTGTAACAAAAATGCTGACATAACTATGAAATGGGAGACAAAGGCATTTCCAATAGCTGGGGAGCCTCTTCAAAAGCACCAAAGTTTAGACTTGAGCACCATTTTGCTTGGAACATGTCCTAATTCTAAACCAGTAAATGTAGCAGGAAGATATTTTAATTCAAAGAGGCCAATAATGCGGACCAAATCAACTCCCTTTGAATTGATACAACAGAGAGACACCAAAGAGTTGGACATCAAGGGAAGTTTTTCTCATTTGGAATCTCAGCAGCATAATTCTTCTCTTGAGCAGGCTCAAAAAGAGATGCATGTTTCTTCAGCAGAAGTGAATTATTCACTACCATATGACTCTAAGCAGCAAATGCGTAATGCCTCTACCACAAAGCAGCATGACTCTAGTGCTTCTAATGTATATTCTTGCATGTCTTTAGTAGAAGATCCTTATTTTTCATCACTGTCTCCAAGTAGTGCTGGATCTAAGATATCTCTTGATTTACCTAAGAAGCAAGATGGAACTGTTTTACCTTGTTCTTCATTGCCAACATCCTCTACAACCCTCTTTTCTTACCACAATTCACATAATTCTTTAGCTCTGAATCCTCCAACCAATTCCTCCTCCTCACTGAACCAAGACACAGCAGCAGTAGGTAAGCTATTTTTAGAAGTTTGTATGACCTTTTAGATTTCACTTTGCTTCTATAGAAGACTTGGTTTCTTCTCACCCTCCCCCTTGTCATTCTCTGCTTCCTTCTTTTTCTTCCTTCTCCTCCTCAAAGAAATAAATTCCAGGAGTGTTTTTAATGATGTGATAGGTTAAAATAGCAATAACAAACATGTAATATTCTATGAAACAGGGGGCAGTGGAGGCAGTCAGATCTGGTATAGGATCTATGCCAGCAGGAGTGCTTCTGAAGGAGGCAATCCTCATTCCTAGAAATGTATACCAAAGGTCCATAATTTACCCATAACATTCAGAAGCAACTTCCAAAAGAACAGCACAAAAGATTTGATCAACAGCACCACATGGTCACTTAGAACTGATTTCCTCCTGTCTTTTTTTATAACAGTAGATGAGAATATGTATTCAGTATTCTCTGTGAGGTTTTAATCTTATATACCCCTTTACTTTCATACTTTATCTCTTTCATAATTCTGGATTTTTCCATATTAAGCATATTGTTTTGTTTTATTGAGTGGCTTGAAAGTTGAAGTAAATATCCTGTTAGAGATGATTATAATTGTTTGATGTGGGAGAAGATGAAGGAAAGCAAAGAGCAAGTTTAGCTCTCTTAGGTAGATCAACAGACATTTATAAAGAACATTCTACCTGAATAGGAAGTAGAGAAAGCTTTTGTTATATAACATTATTTATTGTGTAGAGCTTCTTAATAGATAGATACGTAGATGCATAGCTTTGTTACAAAAATATTTTAACTGGATCTAGTTCTTTCTTTGATTAGATTATTTTATATACTTTAAAATTTAAAGGAATTTTATTTTTCTAGATACCCATAATACCTTAAACTTCCCACAGCAACCAAAACCAAATCCTTATCTTCAAGAATTGTGGCAACATTGACATTTGTGCCATCTGGTGGCTGTTTCTTATAATAGCATTTGAGGTTTTCTATAAAAAATCCGAATATATCTATAGAAAACCCTGTTATTCCATTGTTTTGTAAAAAGCAAAAACATCAATATTCTTCATTCTTATAAATGAAGAAGAGATACTAAAATCTTTATTTTACCTACTATAACTGAGTCTTCAGCATGTCAAAGTGCTTTATGATGCTTTATTATATATTCTACATTAAAAGAAAGGAGTAATGTAGAAAACAATCCAAAGTTTTCTAAGTTAATATAATGTTTTATATTATATTAACTGATACTCAGCTACTCAATCAAAATACTTCTGGGCTTTTCAAATAAATTTTGAAGCAGTAGCAGCAAATCTTCCTGGGTTTGTAACTTAAGATGAGAGAATTTGTTTTTTGCCTTGAGTGAACAGATATCAGCTTAAATAGTGTAATGATGCTTGGTGGAATTTACAGCAAGATTAGAACATAGAAATTTTCTTTGGATTTTTCTAATTAAAAATTGTGATTATGTTTCTGACATTTTGGATAGCAACTCCTCTAAGGATAGATGATGAAATCCCCCCTCCACTTCCTGAACGGACACCTGAATCTTTTATTGTGGTAGAGGAAGCTGGTGAGTACAGCTCAGTAAGTGTAAAATAAAGTGTGGATTAACTAGATTACTTCTCAGGTCCTTTCAATGTTCTGTGTGCTATGGCTGAGTAACATTTGCTTTCTGAAAGAACTGCAACACTTCTAAGAACTGGACCATATTTACTTTGTTTCAGGAGAATTCCTACCGAGTGTTCCCAAATCCCTATCTCCAACTGTAAAGGTAAAAATTGGAACATCATTAGAATGGAGTGGAACATCTGAATCAAAGAAAGTTGATGACTCTGTGAGACTTAGACCAACCAAGGTCAGTAACTTTTTTTCTGACTCTACTCATTGGATTCAACAGGCTACAGACCTACTCCTTGTATTTTAAACACCTATCACTTAATAAATACTAAGGAGATACTACTTATAAAACAATGTGCTAGAAGATGTGGGGGATAAAATGATGTAAAAGACTACAATTATTGTCCTTAAGAAACTTAAAGTCTAGCAGTGGAGATAGAGGATGTGTACACAAGTTTCTATTTTTGTCTATCCTTATTTATCAAGGCAAATATAATCAGTGCCATATGAAAGATGAGATTTAGAAGTGTGGGAGATCCGTCCAGGTTGGAAGTGATCAAGGAAGACAGTCAAAGAGGAAACATTTGAGCTAATAATTCTTGAAGGATAGTTAAGGCAAAAACAAATGTTTCATAAGTAGGTAGTTTGTTCAGAGTAGTCATTTGGTAGGCTGTATCATGTTAGCTGTGATAACATATTATAGAGAGTAATTTTTTGAATGGCAAATGTCCATCTTATAATATAAGATAAACCTTTTGGAATAATGTTCCCTGCTTCTGGAAGAAAAGTCTACACTCTCAACAATGTCATGCATTTGTATATATTCCATGAACCAACTATCTTAAAATTCCAGAGATCAGAAAATAATTAATTAACCATTTAAAAGTGCTTAACACTTGCAATGCTGGTAGGCAAATATTCCCTACCTTTTTAATTACACTTTTAATTTACTAGTAATTATTATTATTGTTAACAATACACACACATATAATGGTCTTTTATCTTAACAACTCCCAGAGCAAAGAACAAACACTCCTTTTCTGTTGTCGTGAAGTAACTTCAATGTCAACAACTTACCTCCAATTAAATTTCTTCTGAATAGGAAGGAAATAGAAAAAAGGATCAATTTAGGACCACTTGCCATGATATATAAAAATCACTCTAAGAGTTAAGGATGCCTTTTCATAATTCAGCACACAGAAATTAGGAAAAACAGGGTCAACATTTCATAACTATCTCTATAGAGATAAGAAATATAATTTCAAAAATGCCATTTATTGCTTTGAGTTTGTGAATCTGTGTACATATTCCTCTTTCACTTTTCCTTCTTTCTTTTTTTAGAGTGTAAAACTCCGGAGTCCTAAATCAGGTAAATTATTTCTCTTGGCTTCAAGATGACATTTAACCCTAAAAATTTGTACTGTAAGAATGGCTCATTAGGTTTAGAGAAAATAACCTCAGGAGAAGGCATGGTTCCCATAATAGCTTCCACTATTTATTGATTTATTTCTGGTTTTCCCAGGCCAGGAGTTTTGTTTTGTCAAGGGCAAGGTTTTTAGACTTCTGCTCCTTGATATAAAATCCTTTAAAAAGACTATTTCAAGGGGCTGGCCTGGTGGTACAGCCGTTAAGTTTGCACGTTCCACTTCAGCCGCTTGGGGTTCACTGGTTCAGATTCCGGGTGCGGACCTACGCACTGCTTGTCAAGCCATGCTGTGGGAGGCGTCCCACATATAAAGTAGAGGAAGGCGGGCACGGATGTTAGCTCAGGGCCAATCCTCCTCAGCAAAAAGAGGAGGATTGGTGGCAGATGTTAGCTCAGGGCTAACCTTCCTCAAAAAACCCAAAAACCCCCAAAAAACCCCAAACCTATTTCAAGGGCTGGCTCTGTGGCCGAGTGATTTAAGTTCACACACTCCACTTTGGCAGCCTAGGGTTCTGCCAGTTTGGAGCCTGGGCACAGACATGGCACTGCTCATCAGGCCATACTGAGGTGGGGTCCCACATAGCACAACCAGAAGGACCTACAACTAGAACATACAACTATGTACCAGGGGGCTTTAGGGAGAAGAAGAAGAAGAAGGAAAAAAAGAAGATTGGCAACAGATGTTAGCACAGGTGCCAATCTTTAAAAAAACTATTTCAGATAGAATCTCTTAAAATTTTGCAGCATTTCTACTTTATAGGCTTTACCACTGTTAACAGTGGAATTCTGAAAAATTATTTCTGGCCACTTAAAACTTGCTGTTGCTTCTCCTGTACTTTCCTGAGCTTTGCTTGTTTTATACATTGAATAACATCAGCAGCTAACATTTACTAGACATTGATAGGTACTTTAGACACATTAAAACAGAGATGGTAGTTTCCCTTAATTTATTAAGTTTTCTGCTTAATTTATTCATATTAACATATTATTCAAATACATACATAGGTAATATAATATAGAGGTCAAAAAGCATGAGCTTTGGGGTCAGATAGGCTTTAATTCAAATCCCCAGTCTACCAAAAGTTGTCAAAATGCATTACCTTGATTAAATTATACACTTTATTAATTTTTCTCATTATAAAATGAAGATAATAGAACTCCTTTCTTAGAGGATTTTTGTGAGGATTAAGTAAGATAATGCATATAAGGTTTTTATCACAGTGGTTGTCAAATAAGAAGCTTTCATGAAATGTTACCTATTATAATTTTTATTAGATAATTGTTAAACGAGCATTTCCTAAGCAAGTTCTGTGTGCTTTACATAGTGTTAGAATAGGCAGGATATATAGGGAAGGGTACTTCTTAATGCTTATATTCAAATTGGGTAGAAAAAATTAATGGTCACTTGCAACCATTAAGCGATAATCTGTGTGGCACTGATTATAATCACCTGGAGTCTACAAAAAGGGAAAGTATCACTTTACCTCCCCAAAGGCCCCTGGTACACAGTTGTACATTTTTAGTTGTGGGTCCTTCTAGTTGTGGCACGTGGGACGCCACCTCAGCATGGCTTGATGAGCAGTGCCATGTCTGCGCCCAGCATCCGAACCAGTGAAACCCTGGGCCGCTGCAGCAGAGCACTTGAACTTAACCACTCGGCCACAGGGCCAGCCCCAAGTTCTCAGAATATTTCTTGACAGCAAAATGGAAGATGATAGGCTACTTCAGGGTAGTTATCAAATATTTAATAAGTGCCTACCATATGCCAGTTATTGTATTAGGTGCTATAAATAAGTATTATACTTTACTTTGCATATTACTTAGCACAAAAGAAATAAACAAGTGAATTTACTTTATAGACAAATCCTAAGGCCTAAAGAACCCAATGACCAAAGACAGCTGCTCTAGTACTTAACCACATTTTCATTTTCAAAAGACATTAATATAGCATATAATTATACTCAGCACTGTATAATGAGAATATTATACACCATTTGTATCTTTAGGACTTACATCATGGGAAAATAGCTCCAATATTTAAAATTCTTTATTATGGAAATTTTCAAACACATATTTTAAACCTACCTTAATACTTAATAGCATTATCGCACCAATAAAATTAACAATAATTCCTTAATATTGTCTAATATCCAGACTTTGTTCAATTTTCTCAAATTGTCTCAAAAATGTCTTTTTACAGTTGGTTTATTTGAATCCAGATTCAAACAAAACATCCACATTACGTTTGGTTTATATGCTTCTTAAATCTTAAAATCTCTAACAGTTCTCCTTGCTTTTTATATTTTCTCATGCCATTTATTTGTAGAAGAGAATGGGTCATTTGTCCTAAAGACTGTTACTATCCTGAATTTGGCTGTTTGTACCCTCATGGTTTTATTTAACATGTTCCTTTACTCCCAGGATTCTCTGTAAAATGATAATTAGAACTAGAAGCTTAGTTAAATTCAGGTTCAATTTCTTTGGAAGAATACTTTTGTAAGTGACCTGCAAGTTTTTAATTAATCATAGGCTCATTGGCTAAAGAGCTAGGAGAACAAAGTTCTTGAGGATCTAGTCTTTGTTCAGATAATTTTTTATTTGGTTCTTGTAGGTTAATATTGAAAAACTGGAAAAGTTACACCAAACCAAAGGGGTCTTGACTTATGACTTTTAATTGATGGATTTTCTTTTGCTTTGTTATATACTCTTCTTACCACAGATCTGCATCAAGATCGTTCTTCTTCCCCTCCACCTCCACTCCCAGAAAGAACCCCTGAGTCCTTCTTCCTTGCTGATGAAGATTGTAAGTGGCAGTACTTTCCTCCAAAGAAAGTTATAAAAATGAGACTGTTAAAAAGTTAACAATAAAGTAGGACCTAAATGGAGAAGGTACAAAGAATGATTAAATAAGATAAAAATAATACATTAAAAAAAACCCATAATGTATTGTAAAAATAATGCATAAAAAAGCCAAGCTAAGAATTACTGAATATATACCTACATATAACCTGAAGGCTTAAGGAGGTATGCAAAACACACTTTTTTGTTTTAGGTATGCAGGCTCAATCTATAGAGACTTATTCTACTAGCTGTCCTAACACCATGGAAAATTCAGCATCTTCAAAACAGACATTGAAGACTCCTGGAAAAAGTTTCACAAGAAGTAAGGTAAAGAAGATTGGAGTTTTAGGAAACATGGCAGAGGCTGTTCCATTACTGAAGGTGTCTCCTCCACCCCACATCACCAGCATTAAGATAGAAAATTAGATTAAAATTAAATCAGATTATTTGTAAGAAGAGACGATTTAGGAACAATTTAAATGTTAATCATTAGGTGAACTGATTAAATAAATCAGAAATCATAGTGTATGCATACAATGGAATACTATGCAGCTAAAAAAAGAATGAGGACTCTCTCAATATATTTATATATAATTTATTAACTTTTGCTCAAAAGGGAGAAAATACAATCTATATTTGTATTATATATTCACAAATAGCTCTAGAAGGATACATAATGGTCATAATGGTTATCTGTAGGGGAGAGTTAGAAACTGGGTAGACGGTGAAAAGCATGGGAGCATTTTTACTAGAATATTTCGAATTATAAATAATGATCTATTTTTTTAATTTAAATTTTTCATAAAAAAGAATTTATTAGAGGAAGATTGGCACAGATGTCAGCTTAGTGACAAGCTTCCTCAAGCAAAAAGAGGAAGATTGGCAACAGCCATTAGCTCAGGGCCAATCTTTCTCAGCCCCCCCCCCCCAAAAAAATTATTATCAATTATATAAAAGAGCACATTTCTGTTAGGTGTTAGGAAAATAGAAATGTCATAAAGATTATCTACCTGTCCGTGAAAAGAGTATAGTTAATCTATTTGAATCGATTGCCTATACGAGAAACATGAAAATTATCAAGAATAATAAAATACTATGGAACAGATTAAAAACATAAATGCTGAGGAAATGTGAAGAAACAAAAGAAATCTAAGTAGATTCCTTAGAGACAAGTTAGACTCTACTATAAAGGAGGCAGAGGACATGGGTTTGCTGAAAGGAGGGAGAAGGAAGTAGCATGGCTAACAATATAGAGCAGATTTTAGTGAACTGAGTACAGAATATGATTGTCAAAAATTCTTGGCTAGAATGGGAAGGGCTATGTACCACAGCTAATTTCAGAAGCCATTGTGGGTTCTGAAATGTCCTAATAAAGAAGAGAAGTAGGAACTCCACCTTTTCCCCTGATATTGTGATAGCACTATTTCTAAACACATAGTATGATTCTTATGGTGGGAAAAATAGCAAGATAAAATCAAGTGGAGATTTTGCACTGAATTAAAAATGACAAGATTGAAAAAATTTTGTGTATTTTGATGGCTATTTTTCAGGAAATTAATCCTTTTGACTGAACTCTATATTTCTACTTGATTGAAGTATTTTGGATTTGATAAGAAAAAAAACTAACGCTTTTCCTTTCTTCATTTTTGTAGAGTTTGAAAATTTTGCGAAACGTGAAAAAGAGTAAGTTTCTTTATACTTATTTTCTAATATATGCTACTTTCACAATTACATAATTTTTCCTTATATAACCACTCTGGAAAAAATTAACCATATTATTCCTAAATAGAACCTAACAAGGGTCCTACGGATCAGAACAATCAACTGCAGGCTTTGTACTGTGTTGGGCTCCACAATGCTAATGTTGGGCAGGGAGTAATGGGAGGGAAAGTTTGTGTTTAACAGACAGGAATAATAGTATGTTTGGCACTTTCTACCCATTCTAACATGCTGTCATACAAGTGTATTTAAAAATTCCCAACAGTCTAACCTCAGACATATTTTCTTGGAAAATAGTCACAGTGAAGCATATTGTGAAACAAATGTGTTGATTTAATGAAATAAGCAAAGTACTGACACATTTCCATTTTCCATTTCCATTTGTATTATTAGCAATAAAAGTCTACTGCTTACTATTTTTGCTATATTTTAATGAAAACAAAGCCCAAAGATTCCTGAAACTGTGGGAAATTATCTAAGAAATCCTTATTTACAACAACAAAGTATATGAAACACAGTGATTAGACTTTTTACAAATTTGATCCATTTGGGTAATCACCAAGGACCAAACAACTACTTGGCATTTAACTGCTGTTATAGGGAGGGATAAAGAACACTGAGAAAACTTGATTTAAGGCATTGTCTAAGTAAGAAGGTTTATAGCTGAATCTTACACTTTTCTCCTGAGTTTTTACTCTATCTCCCTAGAGATGTGCTAGTCTGCTTTCATTGCCATTATACTTAATCTCTGAAGTGAACTGATTTCTCACCTATGATGGCTTAAAGTATGATTGGAAAATATACTCTTTCCTCTAAAATCGGTCAAAAGAGAATTTAAACATTCAAGCGGAAATTATAGTATAAAACAGGGGAAATAAAAAAGAGCCAAAAGCAAAGAAATGAGTGACTTGAATAGCCAACTACAGATTGGTCTGATCAACTTAATTTATGAAACATCCAGTTTTCTTTCTCTAAAAAAAAAATCTTTCTTGGGCCAGCCCTGATGGTCTAGTGGTTAAAGTTTGGTGCTCTCACCACTGTGGTGGCCCGGGTTTGTTTCCCAGTTGTGGAAACACACCAACCCTTGGTCAGTTGCCATACTGTGGTGGTGGCTCACATAAAGAACTAGAAGGACTTATAACTAGGATATACAACCATGTACTGAGAGGCTTTGGGGAGAAGAAAAAAAAAAGAGAGGAATATTGGCAACAGATGTTAGCTCAGAGCAAATTCTTCCATGCAAACAAAACAAAAAAATCTTTCTTTCTCTAACTCTACCCTGTCTTGGGGGTATCAAACAAAGACACAGAAACTTCAGGTAGACTTAGGGTGGCACAGATTGCAGATGTGGTAGAACTCTCAGAGACCCTTAGTCTTATTTCTAAGTAAGACCTCCCAGATCATTCTCTAGGTCTAGGCTAATTTCTGTTTCTCACCTGCCTTCATCGTCTTATCTTTTGTCCTTAAGTGAAGAACAATATCTGGCTCCCAAAACTGATCCTGAAGCTTTAGACTTATCTGCTTGTACTTGCATATGTGTCCTCTTCCCGTTCCAGATGGTTCATGACTCCTGAATTCCATACGTTCTCCCATTAGCCTGGATCTCTTACTGGTCTATAGCTAAAGCTGGTCCTACTTTTAATGAAATTAGGATTCTTCATCTGTTGTTTTAAGCTAGCATCTAAGCCTAGTGTCTTTCATTCACTCATTCATTCACTGAATATTCATTGAGTGCCTACTATGTGCCAGGCATTCTGCAAGGCACTGACTAGGTACATGATGGCAAACAGAACAGATATTTGGCTCTGGCTTTGTGTCATTTATGTATTAAATGACATAATATAGTTCTACTGGAGCTGCCATAGGAAAAAACCAAGACATTTCAGTAATAAGAAAAGCAAATTGCAGGATAATTGGTCCTGTTTATGTAATAACTTAGCAACAAAACTAAGTACTTATATTAGGTTCAACCATACAGCATTGCTATTTTGTAAAAAAACCTATGATAATTTAATAGGCAAAACAGCAGTTCCCTCATATATATATACACACACACATATAAACAGAATCTTTGTCTCCTGTTGTAAAAAACCCAATATTCCCTTTTGGGACAACTGTTTTTTTTCTAAGGGATGTATACAACTCTCAGCTCATATGCAGTATAGAGATGATATCTCCTGAACTTTCTCACCTTCACTAACTTCTTATTTATGTTTCTACCCTCAGTGCCTAGCCCAATGCTTGGCACATAGTTAGGTATTCAATAAATATATATTCTAATTGAATCTGATTAAAATTCGCTATGTACTCTAGTGATTCACCCTCCAAGTACCTCCAAGGAAGGTGTAGGCATTTCTAGAATGCTAGTGTGTACAAACATATACAGCAGTCCCCACATTGCATTCTGAAAATGTTGAAAGTAAAAAATAAAGGGTCAATATTTAATAATTTCTCCCCAATTATATGTTGTTTTTAGAAAGTTTATACAAACCTGAAATTATCTTTTTTGCCTGCTAGACAGTGCACTTGCAAAATGTAGAACACGTTTTCACTGGAGTGTTTTCAAAATTGGGCAGAAACTGATACATGAGTATATTAAGGTGCTAGGAAGAGAAATATATTTTAGCCTACCTATAAGCAGCTAAAACAGCAAAACAAAGCAATATAACAATGCTTTTGGGAGGTTCTGGGCCTAACTAGAATCATCTATAATGGAAAAAAGTAGGCTGAAAATTGAAAAAAAATATTCCAGGAGTAGAGGATGGTGTAAGAAAAATCACAGACTTGCCAAGGAAGAACTAATGTGGAGAACACATGATTTATAAGTGTACTCAGAGTGGTCAGAAGGCAAAGTAAGATGAAGTCGAGTCAAAATGTGAATCCCCAAAAAAGTTGACCTACAGTATAATGGATCTTATTCCTGAATCCTTTGGTGATTCTCTTTTAGTGTTGGGCTTTACCATATAATCTGTTGCAAAGAAAAGAAACCTTTTAAAAAATATGCACACAAAAATGAGATTATAGTGCCAATCCATTTGTAAGCATCCATATTTTGTTACATTTGATAGTGATATGTTTCTGTGGTAGTATTATTTTGGAGGAAATGTTTAATCTCAACAATTATGTGGTCTGATTAACAGTAATCTGAATCTGTCTCCATTCCTTCCATTTTTTCTTTTGATTCTAGGTATCTGTAATTCTTCCCCACCAAACAAGCCTGCAGACTCTGTTCAGTCTAATAACTCCAGGTCCTTTTTGAATCTTGGTATGTGTGTTATTTTCTAGTAGAGTTAAAAAAATTGTCCATCTAAATTATTCACTTACACTATAAGAGATTCAACTTTAAATATAATTTAAAGTTGCATGTATAGGTCTTTGTGTTTACATTCTTTTCCACGCAATTTATCTTTTTATTTTTGACCTCAGCTACCTCTTAACATCTTAGCTAGGACTGAATTGCCTAGCATATGCAGAAAATAAAACTAGGTAACCAAATTATTATGTTGGCATGTAGTAAATGAATGTGACTAGCCAAGTGAAGAAATTGAGATACTATAAGACTCCAGTTTATATCTAAGAAAAATTATAAAGAATACACAAGTGTGATAACAGCAGTTGTTGCTATCTAATCTTGTATAACTCACTCAACAGTAGGAGCTGAAACACAATTTTGACAGTTTAAAAGAATTAATTGCCAATCATTTGCCCCTAAGTATAAGCTGTAAGTTTAAGATGATAATTTTATATTATTTTAAGCATTCCATTCTATATGACATAAATTTGTGATACTGTTCAAGGTAGTATCATGTATACTATAAATTTTTCTAAGAAGTGTAGCAATTAACGTAGGATATTTCTACTAAAAATTATTAACCAAAAAGCAGACCTCCTGGAAGGGCTTTGGGGACTCCCAGGTGTCCCTGGGACCATGCCTTGAGAATTACTGCTCTGCAGTATTGTCCTAATCTGTATGGTCAAAATTGGGTTGCTGCCACGTCCAGATTGTAGGTGGCAAGATGAGAGAAAAAGGTGTGGCCTCCTCTGCTGGTCTTAAGGTACTGGTCCAGAAGTGACAACATCACATTCGTTCACACTCCCTTAAAGAGAACTTAAACATGTGCTATATCTAAATTGCAAGAGACAGTGGGAAATGTAATAATGCCGGGCAGACGGGTGCCCACATGCAATTCTATTCCTGATGAAGAAGGAAAGATTTTGGTGGACACGTAGCAATCTGTGTCACACCTGTGTTATGGACCCTATCTCACCTTGGCAAAATATGTAACTAGAATCTCTGGATATGTTTCTTGGGCAGTAAAATTTTATTTGGATTACATTAACTCTGTTTAAAATGTTCTAATTAGAAAAAAATGTTATTCTTATGAAGTCATTTAGTTAAAATAAATTCATATAGGATATTGTACAACCTATGAAAAAAGCACCACATTTTGCCTGGAACAGAAATGTTCCCTGCTTCCTCAGTCAATGATACCACTTTATTAACTCATGGCTCATCTAACTTTTCAGAGTCTGTGATCTAATATGAAGATAAAATATGAGAGAGCTGCCTCCATGTTGTTTCTTCTCAAATATGCCTAGATTTGAACATTTTACCTACTTAAAAAGCAGCACTTAACTTTTTCATTGGTTCTCTTTTATAAGGGAGTGATGTAAGGATATTTTACTCAAAAAAGTACTTAAATTTGAATGAAAAAATCATGTGGTTTATAAACATTTTTATTTTTCCTGAATTGGCCTACATCCAAAAAAAGGTAGCTCACTACTGTTCCAAACTATTGCAAATTGATCAGTGAAAAAGACGGAATGTAGGTATTCCTCAAATTTCAGACACTTAGTACTTGCATATTATATTCTTACTTTTATTCTCAGTCCACTTGGGTTACAATCAAGCTATCTGGACCCGAGGTATGATTTTATAACTATTGTGTGAAACTATTTAACCTGAAATATTTTTCCTTCTATCTTCATTTTTACTACTAAGAGGAGTAAAATGTACATGAAATAGGCTGTGTGCCCCTCCCCCAATTTTTTAACCACCACCATTAATAAATGTAATTTTAGTATATTTCTTGTTTTTATCTTCTTTTCTTTTCCTCTTTTCTACTCTCCTTTTCTTCCAGTTCTGGCATAGTTTTTTGTGGTTCAGATTTAAGCAACACTGGAGTAGTTATTAGGTGCCAGGAATTGTGCTGGATGATTTAACAAATATCACATCTGATCCTTTCATCAGTTCTGTAAGGTATATAATACCCACAATTTTGTAAGATGATGAAATTAAAGGTTTAGGAATATCTTTGAGTTTTCCATTCTCTGTTCTCCCTTTGTATTTCAAAGCTTTCATTGCTCAAATTGAGCCCCTAAAGTTGTTAAGTGTAAGGGTACCTTGAAAATATACCTTCATCAAAGAAAAGTCATATGTTGCTGCAGTGATAAGAAAGCAATGTTATCATCCTACAAATCTTCTCAAAGTACCCAGAAATAGCCTTTGTTAGTTGTGCAAAATTTCCTCATCTGCCTTCTTTTGTGCAGCAGGGGTGGAGGGGAGTGGGTGGGGGGAGAGAGAAATAAAAATGATTAACTACTTAGTTTTTCAGGATTGTTTATTATTTTATTTTTTCTAAGCTTTTCAAACATAATCTCTTAGTAAATTAAGGGCTTTTTGAGCCAAAGCAGATGTATAACTGGAATTAACACAAAAATTTTGTAAAGCAATAGTTCTTATATTCCTGAAATAGAAATTTCCCAGTTTTGTTTTTTTGACGTGTGGGTGGTGAGTGAAAAGACATAAAGGATATTACTTAAAAAAACAAACAATCTGATTAAAAAATGGGCAAAGGACTTGAATAGACCTTTTTCCAAAAAAGACATATAAACAGTACATGAAAAGATGCTGGACATCAGGGAAATGCAAATCAAAACCACAATGAGATATCACCTCACACCTGTCGTAACAGCCATTATTAAAACGACAACAGACAAGTGTTAGTAAGGCTGTGGAGAAAGGGGAACCCTTGTGCATTGTAGGTGGGAATATAAAATTAGTGTAGCCACTATGGAAAAAAAGTATGGAGATTCCTCAAAAAATTAAAAATAGAACTATCATATGATCCAGCAATCTCACTTCTGGGTATATATGTGAAGGAAATGACATCATTATCTTGGAAGAGATATCTGTACACCATGTTCATTGCAGTATTATTTACAATAGCCAAGACATGGAAACAATTAGGTGTCCATTGACAGATGAATGGATAAAGATAATATCTATATATTTCATATACATATTCATATATATTCGAGTATTATTCAGTCATAAAAAGAAGGCAATCCTGCCTTTTGCGACAACATGGATGGACCTTGACGGTGAGATAAGTCAGAAAGAAACAGACAAATACTGTATGTTCTCACTTAATTTGGGGACTCTAAAGAAGCCAACTCATAGAAATACAGAGTAAAATGGTGGTTGCCAGGGACTTGGCGGTGGGGGAAATGAGATGTTGGTCAAAGGGTACAAACTTCCAGCTATGTTGTTCTGGGGATCTAATGCACAGCAGGGTAGCTCTAACTGCTGTTGTTAGTGCCGTGGAGTTGATTACGACTCCTAGTAACCCTGTGTACAGCAGAGTGGAACCATGCCTGGTCTTTTTGTGCCATCCTCTCTCCTTTCAGCGCTGTATCAGACAACGCGCAGCTGTTATTCACAGGGTTTTCATGGCCAATATTTTTCGGAGGTGGGCAGCCAGATCCTTCTTCCTAGTCTGTGTAGTCTGGAAGCTCCCCTGAAACCTGTCCACCATGGGTGACCCTGCTGGTATTTGAAATACCCATGGCAAAACTTTCAGCAACACAGCAACATGCAGCCTGCACAGTATGACAACTGACAGACAGGTGGGGCAGTTCCCTAACTGGGAAAGGAAGCTGGGAAATGAATCTAGGCCGTGGCAGTGAGAGCAGGGAATCTTAATCACCAGACCACCAGGCCTGGCCATAATTAACAGTACTGTATTATATACCTGAAAGCTGTTAAAGAGTAAATCTTAAATGTAATCACCACAAAAAAAATAGTAATTATGTGAGGGGATGAAGGTGTTAATTAATCTGAACGTGGCAATCATTTCACAATATGTACCTGTATCAAATCATCATGTTGTACACCTGAAACTTACCTATGTTATATGTCAATAATATTCCAATAAAGCTGGGGAAAAAAAAGATATTATATGCTGAATTACCAAAGGTTACTATAACCAGGATTCTTCATCTAATTCTTACCATTATTAAATTTGTAAGTGTTCTACAAATTTAAAATATTATTAGTATTCTATTGTTATCATTTAAGCATTAAGCTAATTACTATGCCTTTACAATCTACTGCTAAATTGATCAAAGATGCTGCCTAACCTTTCAAAAAAATCCATGTACTTGCATATATTACAATACGCTCTAAAATCCAAGTATTAATTTCATTAAAAAACCTTTCTTTTTTCATCCAATTTTATTTTTGTTCCCAGGTTTTGCAAATCGTTTTTCAAAACCCAAAGGACCAAGAAACCCACCACCAACGTGGAATATTTAACACAACTTTGGAATATAGGCTGCAAGTGCATCTGTAAATAAAACTAATAGAATATTGCTAGCTAAAATAAGTACTCTATATTCATAACTTCAACAATGAAGATATGGTAACGAGGTTTTAAAAGAAAAGCAATATACAAATAAGTGTCAGAAGTTTTACATTTTCATTGGGTTGGAAACCCCAAATAAAAGTCTGTCACTTGAGCTTACGTAGGGAATGTTGTATGAGAAACTGTTTTAGGATGGATTTATTTTTCATTTTTGGAAGTTATTTTTCTTCTACTTTTCTACATAAACTTTAAAAGCTTTATAAGAATTGGATCTCAAATGTTTACATTGCCAGAATTTACTATAAAAAGTGTTTTAAAAAAATCTTACCTTGTAGTTGCAGCACAAAATTACTGCTTGTGACAATGACTCTTCGCTGGGAGTTATTTTTGCCTAAATGGAGTATACCTTGCACATCTTCCCAAATGTTGTGGGAAACTAGAGTCGTAAGAAGTTATATTTAAGAAAATAAAATATGCAACCAATGACAATCATTATTTTATTTGGATATACCAAGTAACAAGATGTGCAACTACATTTCTGATTAAGTTTTAACCAAAATCATTCAATTACCAAATCTGGAAGAATAGGCGACAAAATAGCTATCTGGCAGCATTTTCGTCATTTCGAAGGTCATTTATAAAAACGTACAACATATATATTCAATCAATCAGAGGCACTACTAGTTTAAGAAAATTTCTATATGAATATAGATCTGCCTTAAGAAAATCTGATCTTTCAAATCTAATTTTATGTAACAAATAAGTTAGTGGGTAATTATTATTACAAAGGATTCCCTTGAGTTCTCCTAATGATTTAACTTCTTTTTAATTAAAAAAAAAGTTTGTAACTTGTAGAAACATGAAATACTTAAAACAGCATTGTACTTCAATATTTTTCATTAGGCCTGATGACAGCGCAAATTGGGTGAAATATTATTACCTGTTTATTGTAGTACAATGTACACAGCAGGTGCTCAATAAACCTTTCTGTTTTTAAGCTAAGTTTACTGTAGTGTTGATTAAGCTGAATACTTCTCCAAGCACTAGTGGAATCAAACCCCAGTAATTTTACTTGAGTACTTCATTGTAACCAAATTACTTCCAAATATCTTTTTCAAGGACCAAATATGTTAAAAGACTCTTAGGTAAAACCTGAAGTGACGATGAAATTGTAAATGAATTTCAGAGCAGCAACCTTGGTGAACAGGGACGATTTTTGGAGTGTTCTCTGGCAGACACATTTTTCAAATTTACGCAAGCTTATACTTAGGATTTGAAAAAATTTTATTTTAAAACATGGTTTTCCACGTAGAATCTTTTCCCCTAACTGTAGGGACGTATTCAAAGTAAACGACGGACTCTACCTTTGCAGGCGTCAGAGAGGACGCGGCTGGACGGCGAGGGGGCCGGCGCTCACCAGGCTCCCCGGCGGTTGTTGCACCTGCCTCGTTACGCCGGTGCTTGTAACCACAGCAAGGCCCATGAAGCGGATCAAAAAATTTCTGAATTGCAGCCCCATTCGATTTTAAAGCAAAATAACCCTCAGTTTACATATTACTAAATTCCCCTGTCCTCTTCATTTCCTCGCTTGTCCAAGAGTAAAAGGCCGGAGATTCTTTTACCTCACAAAGGTTAGGAGAGGCATATGAAACTTAAAAGTAACTATGGAGACCACCTACTCCGCGTAAAACGACGAAGGGGCAGACGAAGCTGATAATGGGAACGCGCCGACCGACTCCGAAACCCATTAACATTGTTTCGGCCGTTTAGACGGTTGGCGGTAACTCTCCGCCCAGCGGCGGTGGCGTCGCAGCCCGAAGCGTGACTCGGCGCACGCTCTCTTTCCGCTCCTCCACTCACCGAGCGGCGGGGGGCGCCGAGGAACTACGGCTCCCATGAGGCTCTGCGCGGCCCAGTCTGCTCTACCGTAGAGCTCGGTTGGAGAGGCCTGCGGAGAAGCGCTGAGAACTGCCGCTTCCGGCATGTTCAGCTCTGGACGGAGAACGGCCGAGAAGTGGAGGGCGGGGAAGAGACTCCAATGCCCAGCGGGCCGTGCGCGGGCGGCGCTTGCGCGATACGCGGACGGGGGGGCGGTCGGGCCATTTAAATGTGTGTTTGTGGGTGAAATGGCTGCGCAGGTCGGAGCGGTGCGCGTAGTACGGGCGGTGGCGGCGCAGGAGGAGCCGGACAAAGAGGGGAAGGAGAAACCTCACGCTGGGGTCTCGCCTCGGGGAGTGAAGCGGCAGCGCCGAGCGAGCAGCGGGGGGTCTCAGGAGAAGCGGGGGCGGCCGAGCCAGGACCCCCCTCTCGCTCCCCCTCACCGGCGGCGTCGCAGCCGCCAACATCCCGGGCCGCTGCCGCCAACGAATGCAGCCCCAACCGTCTCAGGCCCTGTTGAGCCTCTGCTCCTGCCGCCTCCGCCGCCACCTTCGCTGGCACCCGCCGGGCCCTCTGTCGCTGCCCCGCTCCCGGCCCCAGGCACCTCGGCCCTCTTCACCTTCTCGCCTCTGACGGTGAGCGCGGCCGGGCCCAAGCATAAGGGCCACAAGGAGCGGCACAGGCACCATCACCACCGCAGCTCCGATGGTGACCCCAGCTCCTGCGTTCCGGGCGAGCTCAAGCACAAGGACAAGCAGGAAAACGGCGAGAGGACTGGAGGGGTGCCTGTGATCAAGGCCCCCAAAAGAGGTGAGAGCAGGCGGACTGCCCCGCGCTTGAGCTGGAGGTCTCTCAGTCCCGATATCCCGCCCCTTTAGTACTGAAAGACGCCAACCCCTGCTTACCTCCGGCTGCTCTACTCCCCTAAGCCCACTGGGGTGGACCCTGGATCTCAAACGGTTGACACAGTCTGACCTACTTGAGGCTTCTCGCTTCGAGGCCGAGCTGTCAGTTACTAACTGCTTTACCAGTGCTCCCCCCGCACCGAGCCTTTGCCAACGTTTGTTTTCAAATTCGCCAGGGTTTCCGCGCCGCGCCGTCCTTGGCGTGGGATTAGTAGCTGGGGTATTAAAAAACTGCCTTTTTAAGGTAAAGACTTGTCACCAAAATCCTTTCTTCCTGTTTTCCTTGATGGAAAGCTTTAATATTCACTATCCTCTGCTCCAAAATATTCACGGGTATGGTTTGGGGCTTTGATTTTGAATTCTTAGAGGTTATTTGACTAACTGGTTGCCTTAGCTTCTGCAAGAAAAAATATCAAATGCAGTCTATCTTGGTTTTAAAAATCATTTTTAATTTTCATGTTAAATCTTAATTCCCAGAAAATGGTTGGGGAAGGTTTTCTCTCCCCTTTGATCCTAGGAAACAGGACCAACTGTGGCTCTGAAAGTGAGAAGTGTGTAGTAAGTAGATAGTAGAGGCAGGCATTTCAGTTGCATTTTATTGTTTGGCACAACAAATTGAGAATTTATTTAATTCCAGTAATCCTCGCTAAAGTCCAGAATATTTAACCCAGAAAATGTAGGACTACTTAATTAAGTGTGGGTTCTAGAGAAATTAGATTCGCCAAAATTGGTGTCTTCTCAAGCACATGTAACATTTTTATATTCTCTGTAAAAGAAACGGGAGTATGAATTTTGAATTTGCCGTGTATTTGTACTTTGTATATGATTTAATACAATTTGTTAGTTGTGTCTCCTCAAGAAGGTTTTAAGATGCTTCTATGTTTCTTAGTACTGGGCCAGCTAGGTTGCTACTGTACATGTTAATGAACCAGTCTTTCAGTCTCAAGTTTTGTCAGTCTTGGATTCCTCCCACGTATTTGGTCTTAACTTAGGGTTAATCAGTTTATTTTTGGTGCTACTTCCAAATAGCGTAACTTGTTGCAAATAATTGCTCAATAAATATTTAGTGAATTGAGTTAAATCTTTCTTCCTTTGGTGGTATCTGAATCTTATCCTCAGGATTAGAACGTATGCCAAGCTGATAGGAGAGCCAGTGTCCACCGCCAATATGCAGTGATGTTGCTCTCTTTTATTTTTACGTTTATTTCTCACCCTCTCCTTTTGTTTGTGTTTGTTTTAACCATATAGAGCTAGAGAGAATCTTAGAGATCATCCAATTCAAATTTGTATTGTAGAAGAGAAAACCAGGGGCCAAAGTAGCGAAGAGACTATCTAATCAAGTCACAGTTACTTAGCACAAAGTACAAAAAATTTTTTAAAAACATTTTTTAATGAATCATTGGCATAATAGGGAGTAGAACCCAGATCATCTGAATCCCACTTCAGGCTTCATCCCCCAGCTGCATGATGTTGCTTTCTCTTTTTGCTATTCCTTTTTTCCACTTCTTTGCTCACCCTTTCCCTGTGCCTTGGTGTCAAAATGGCAGTAGCCAGCCCCATCAAGCATTTCTGACCTGACCTCCTTTTATGGGGAGATAGTGGCAATTACAAGTATAATAATTCACAATATGCTTCTCTGAAAATTGCACAGGCCCCGTGTTCTTTAAAAAACAAACAAAAACAAACCTTTAACCCAGCGCTGTCCAACAGAACTTTCTCCACTGATAGAAGGGTTCCATATCTGTGCTGTCCACTACTGTAGCTATTAGTCATATTTGGCCCTCGGAACAAGTCTCGAAACTTGAAATGTGGCTAGTGTGACTGAATTTTTTATTTAATTCTAATTAATTTAGAATTAAATAGTTCCTTTTGGCTAGGGGCTACCACATTGGACAGCGCAGCTGGGAGCATTAGTAGTTTGCCAGTGTGTGAAGAAAAGTGGGTTAAGATCAGGTCATTTAAACATTTTAACTTTTTTTTTAATTGAGATATAATTGACATATTAGTTTCAGGTGTACAACATAATGATTCGATACTTGTATATATTGCAAGATGATCACTACAATAAGTCTAGTTTAAACATTTTAACTTTTGAATGAGAAACTGTTGGGTGATATATTCTGGGAGGAAAGGGCTCCCTGAAACTGTGCTGTAGCCTTCTAGATACATGACACCCACTGACATTTCAAAAGTTCTGAGACCCCTATAGAAAGTAAACTGGGTTAACCTTGTTTAATTCAGGTTTTTGCACACGTTTTGATGGATACCTTTTTTTTCCCCTGAAGTTCTTTATATTCGTTACAGTGGTATGCAAGAGGCATGCCTATGGAGTCAGCCCGAGTTTAAATCATCCTGGCTCTACCACTTACTGTGTGACCATGGGCAAATGACGTTAACCTCCTTCAGCTTCAGTTTTCTTGTCTTTAAAATGGGATTGTGGTATTTCTTTTATGAGATTGTTTTGTAGATTAAGTGGGGCAATACGTGGAAAACACTTAAAACACTGACTGCTACTAGGCACTGTTAAAACTGCCTTTTGTTATTTTATCAAAGTTGGTTCTTGAAACAACTCTAAGATTAATAAGGAAAGTGGCTAGACCCTTTTTATTTACAGAGCTATGTCTTCCCTTCCCTTCTCAGATTTTCAGAAACTATTTTAACTTTTTATTTTTGGATAATTATATATTCACCGGAAATTGCAAAAATAGTGTAGAGAAGTCCTTACCTTTCGCTTGTTTCCCCCAGTGATTACATCTTACATAACTATTGTGTAATATCAACATCAGGAAATTGACATTGATACAATGGTGTGTGTATAGTTTTATGCCATTTTATCACCTGTAGATTAGTTTAACCCCCTCTGCAATCAAGGTACACAACTATTCCATCAGAAAGATCCCTCTTGTGCTATCTCTTTATAGTCTTAGGCGCCTTCTATGTTTCTCCACCTTCCCTAACCCCTAATCTAGCAACCACTAATCTGTTCTCCAACTCTGTAGTTTTGTCATTTGAGAGTGGTATGTAAATAGAATAGTAAGTATGTGTTCTTTTGAGATTTTTTTCATTCAGCCTGATGTCCTTGAAATCCATTCAAGTTGTTGTATGTATCAATAGCTCATTCCTTTTCATTGCTGAGTAGTATTCTATGGTATGGCTATACCACAGTTTAACCATTCACCTATTGGTGGACAGTTTGGTTATTTCCAGTTTGGCTATTATGAATAAAGCTTCTGTGAACATTCATGTTCAGGTTTTTATGTGGATGTAAGTTTTCATTTCTCTGGGAATGTAATTGCTGAGTCATATGGTAAGCATACGTTTAGTTTTTTGCGTTTTAAGATATTGACAAATTGTTTTCTGGACTGTGTATCATTTTACATTTCCACTAGCAGTTTATGTGGGATCCACTTTCTCCACATCGTTGTCAGTATCTGGTATAGTTACTATTTTTGTTCTATCTGTTCAATAGATGTGTAATGATACCTCATCACGGACTTAAGTTGCATTTCCCCAGTAGGCTAGTGGTATTTAACATATTTTCATGTCATCATTTGCTGACCATATATCCTCATCA